GGTTGGATGCAGGAGGAGGTTGGATGCAGGAGGAGGTTGGATGCAGGAGGAGGTTGGATGCAGGAGGAGGTTCGATGCAGGAGGTGGTTGGATGCAGGAGGAGGTTCGATGCTGGAGGAGGTTCAATGCAGGAGGTGGTTGGATGCAGGAGGTGGTTGGATGCAGGAGGTGGTGGGCTGCAGGTGGCTTGATGCTGGAGGCGGTTGGATTAAGGAGGTTGGATGTAGGAGGAGGTTTGATGCAGGAGGTGGTTGGATGCAGCAGGAGGCTCAAGGCTCGAAATTTGTCCAGAGAGGGGAAAACATCAATACAACATTTTATCCTCCAAACAAGGAAAAGGTGAGTTTTCTGCAAATAGCAACCTGGGGGATAGTTAGCAATGTACATGCAAGTAGTGAACATATAATTTCAGCTCATAAGATCCAGCGGTGTCTTATAATATCCCCCGGAGAAACTTGATCAAAAGAAATCATTATCAATCAAGACAGGTCCCAATATATAACAAAGGAGTATCCTGGAGTACCCTAAATTTGTGCATACAAATACAAAAAAGCGGCGCCACCATGCACATCCATTCACATTTGGCATGTGTAACCAACATGTACACACATGAACATGTATAATAAGTGTACATGTATGTACATGTACATGCCATTTCACCAAACGCAACTCTCCCAACAATAAGTACATGTGGCCCTAGGCCTAACTTCACATCAACGTCCGTCATGTGAACATGATCATGACGATCCTCGTACGAGGAAAGAGGCAACACTGACATTGGGCCGATCGGTTATACCTTATCTTCCTTTCTCCATCTGACCTCCATCGGTTTACAGTCACTTTGCCCCATTTCCACGTCGCCCCATCCCCAGTTCACCCCATTTTCACTTTGCCCTATCCCCACTTCGCCCCATTTCTACTGTGCCCCATCCATGCTTGTGTTACAAGCCTCTTCAAAAAATGGTCGAGAAAGGAGTTTCACGAACATCAGGATGGAGTTATACATGTACATGTATACAGAAAACTTTATGGCATTCACTTAATTAATGTCGACTGCATTGTTCCTGGTGAATTAATACATACATGTATGGTTGGACTAGCACAGGGTTTATTTATTTCTCATCCTCTTTAAGTTTATTTCAAAGCGATACACAGTTCTGTACACATCGTTCTGGTAATTGTCAATGTATCCAGCTGTGCCCCGGCGATCGGATAAACCTCGGAGCGCCGGGGCAGGAAATTTTTGTGGAAACATGCTCGCTTCAAGTACAAGCAGAACAACGTAAAATTAAACTCATGACCACAGAAAAGACACACATAGACAAGATACTAAATTCTGTGAATTATTTTTACGGAATCTTGCAATATCGATTTTTTTCTGGTGAGGTCACATACATGTACATGTACAGTCGCTATGAATAAACTACATGTAGTTGCCCCACTCCATCACGCATTCTCTTGCATGGGTGCAGAGCGGCGAGAACTAGCACTTTGCAGTCGCATGTGTTTTTACCTCAGCGACAGTGAAACACGAAGCAGAGAACTCGTGAAATTGCTTTTCAAATACATGTATAACTGGGAAAACATGTAAACACAAGCGTCATAATGAGAAAAAAGTTGTTCTGAGGTGTTTCTGAAGATAGAAAAGACAACAGGACTTATTTATTTTTTTTATATTTATTAAATTTGGTTTTTCTAACTTGCCAATAAAAATGCTATGGTCTCGCTGAAAACTTAGGGTCAGTCTACCTCTACTAACATGACTAAGTGGAAAGTTAGTATTCCCTTTTACGATTTTGGACGGGATCGTCATACTAACGCTCCACGCAGGTTCATTTGGTAAGATTAAAACGGTTTACAAAATTCAAATGACTGTTTCCTCTATGGGCAAACATGGTCCTCTAAGGAAACCGCAGGAGAGGCCCAAATGCAATCAGGGCACCAGACGTATTGACCAGAAAACAGTCGTTGGTAGCACTCCCAACCGTCATAATCAACAAGTCTTGTGCCCAGACCACGTATAGGTCACTCATGTGTGTTCTGGCATGTCTGGGGGGACCGTAGAGTTATTGTTGCTTCTAAATCTTGCTACACACATTGGAAAGGAACAGGAGGCAAAAAGTTAAAGTACTGTGCGTGTGTCGGATTTTGACAGATTTTGAAGTCAGAAATAGCATTGAAGCCCTAACCGTTTGACGTCGGCATTTATGGAAGGTGGTGAAAGAGGTATTTTTGGTGAGTCTTTGAATTTTTGAGAACCGTTTTAATCTTACTAAATGAACATGCGAAGAGCGTTAGTACGACAATCCCGTCCAAATCGTAAAAGAGGAACACTAACGCTCCACTTAGTAGAGCTAGGGTGGGTTGGGAAAATCAAAAGCATTGTTTTAGCCTTTGCAAGTTGGATATACCCAGCCAGAAATGAGACCGAAGAAGACAGAACCTGTGTGTGTAGCAGTGCTACATGCTACACAGAATGTTTAGTCAGGTGATATGCAATAGGATATAGGCACAGCCGATCGGATGGTCTAAGAACCAGACCTTCAAATGTACACTAATGCTACACAGTGCTAGCTAGACGAAGACGCAAGAAAAGTAAGGGGCCGCCGCGTGTAGCAAAAAGTGCTACACCATAGACTTGTGCACAAACCTGGTGCTACACAGCACTACACAGAAAATGAAAAGCAGGGCCGCCACGGGAAAATGAAAAAGGAAGTGGACGCGACGTGAAGCAAAAAGTGCTACACCATTGACTTGTGCACAAACCCGGTGCTAAGTACATGTACGTCAGACATGTCAGAGGAAAACGTGCAATAAAGTTTCGAGGGTGTTCTGTTCTAACTTCTAAGTGTACGCGGATATCTGAAGCTTTCACAGCGTACCTGTGAACTTCTGCTCATTAATGCGCATGCTCAGTGTAGTGGTGCTACAAGGAAGGCCGTGTGGATTTGGTCGTCTCATTTCTGGCTGCATACACGTATGTGCACTCCCTCCATGGTAAATCATGTACTTGTAGTTGTACAGTAGCCTATGTAACTTATTCTCATAATCAGTGGTATTGTTAGGATCGGGACCGTAGCTTGGAAGACTAGACCGACCTGACGAGCTACCCTGAACAAAAATCACAACCAGGTATTCTTTGTTTACCCTGCACACAAGACGACATTGTAGATCACCAAATAGGCCGTTGCCAGTCCCGAAACTTGTCGAGATTTGGTTCCTTTATTCAGGTCCCCAGATCCCCGTTCACTCGCCATGCTTGATCGTACGATTGGCATGAATCAATAGCCAGACACTCATTTTCCCACCCAGATCTCTTGTCATACAAAATGTGGACAGGTGCTAGACAATTGTAAACTTGTTCAAGTCGTTTAAGATTTGTGCTATCGCTCTTTTTGCCTGGTGCTAGTCTACTACTCACTGGTAGTATGGTTCCAGCCCACTGGATAAATGAATAAATCGGGTCCAAAACTAGGTTTACTTAATAAATGGTTTCCTGCTAGGAAAGGAATTTTCACCATTGGTATATTGATTACCAGGGACGTTAAATGCATCACATGACGTGCACGAATCGAATATGCAGCATCTAGTATCTGGCTCGCTTGGTTGATTGTGCTCGAAAACTTCGCGAACTTTTCACCAACCGTGCCCGTAGCATTATTTCAGAAGTGGTTGTTTCGCTATGTGGATGTCTGGATTTTGTACGGGCCTAACCTCAAGTAAAACTGTCTAGGTCAGTTTTTCTGTCTGCCAGCGAAGATTGGCAGACCAGCCCTTTCAGTTCCATGTTGTGAAAAGCTGAAGTTTTTGAGTAGAGTATCCACAGTTAACTTCATTTTCATTCAGTTCGTGCTGGGCTAGACATTGGCTGCTGAGCTGGGCTAGCGTTCAAACTACTGAGTGTAGTGCGTGACTGTGTCCTGCGAAAGATGGTGAGTACGAAATTACACTGCCTCATAGTAGTGCCAGAACAATCTCAGCATGGAGCTGTAGACTAGTTCCATTTCCATGGCCCATGCATGGCCTGGAGCAGCTGCTGTGGTCACGGGGCATTGCCATTAGCGGATTAGGAAGTTAGGTAAAAAAGTTCTATGTACTGAAGAAGTTTAGACGCTGTTCAGTGACTATTAGTGTTGGCCTAACCACGCTACGTGTAACTTGGTTTACACTACAGATAGTCACATAAATCCTAGTCATATTCGATATGTCCAACGTGGTGTTAGGCCTACTTCGGTTGAAACATGAAATTTCTATGTCTATGCCGTTATTCACATTTCCCCCTATAATTTCATGAGGTCTCACAGGATACAATTTTGTATGGGATGGGCATAATGGGGGGGGTCATTTACATTCAGATTATACCATTTAAAGTGGTGAAATTTATGAGATTTTCCTTATTCACACCCGTGTCCACGACTGCCTGCCTAGCACGAATGTTGGTCTAGTCGTCCCTGAGTCAAGTCGTCCCCAGGTCAAGTCATCCCCATGCATGCCAGGTCAAGTCGTCCCCGCATCAAGTCACTTCCTAGTCAAGTCGTCCCCATATGAATAATTAAATTATAATGTATATTGTAAATTTTTTTCACTTTCAAGTTTTTACTGGGGTAATTTATTTTTTCTCTTTCTTTTATTGGGATTTTTTTTCAAATTGAGTTTATTTATTTATATTTCATTTGATTATCATTTATTAAATACTGTATCACCACATTAGACTGGACTGAATTATCTCTTTTGATTTTGTTCACTGTGCACTCTTACAACGGTTTACAGTAACTAAGCCCATTTTCACGTCACCCCTTACCACTTTGTCCCATCCTCACACATTGCCACATCGCCCCACCCCACTTCGCCCCATCCCCACTTCACCCCATTTCCACTTCTCACCCCATTTCCACTTTGCCGTCCATGCTTGAGTGTGTTACAAGCCTCTTCAAACAATGGTCGAGCGGGGAGTTCTACAAACGATATGTAGTTATAGAAAACTCTATGGCATTAAATTAATGTAAACTGCGTTGTCCATTATGGTGAATTAATACATAATTTATGGTTGGACTAGCATCAGGGTTATTTCTCATCCTCTTCAAGTTTATTTCAAAGCGACACACACAATTCTGTTGGCATCATTCTGGCACATGTAATTGTCGATGCATCCAGACAGCTGTACCCGGGCAATCGGATAAAGCTCCGTGCACAGGAAATTTTTGAAATATGCTCGCTTCTAGTAAGAGCAAAACAACCTAAGATTAAAGTGACCTGACTGATGAACACAGAAAATACACACATATGGAAAAAATACCAAGAATTAAGGTGAAGAATTCGTGCAACATCGATGTTTTTCGATACGTGACGGATCGCGTACATATGTACTGTCAACACGGCATGAATAGAGTGGTTGCCACACTCAAGCACGCATTCGCTCACACGGGTGCAGCGTGACGGAAACCAGCGCTTTGCGTACATGTTTTTACCACAGCGACAACGAAACATGAAGAAAACCATTTTTTTCTAACTTGCCAATAAAATGTTAGGGTCTCGCCGAAAAATTTTGGTCTGGCGGTAGGGAAATCGAAAGCATTGTTTTGCCTTTGAAAGGCAGATTCTCCAATCATTATTTGGTACTCTGTTACTGAAGAACAGAATGAAGTTTAATCAATGGGGCGTGGCAATGGGGCAAAGTGGAAATGGGGTGAAGTGAGGATGGGGCGAAGTGGAAATGGGGTGAAGTGAGGATGGGGCGAAGTTGAAATGGGGTGAAGTGACTGACACCCCTTAAAACAACCCAGACAAAATGTTGACTGATATTCCTAGTTATTCAAAATTACTAAAATTCATCTCCGCATTACTGATTTCAAAAAGTTATTCAAATAAACTGGAAATGACTACTGGAAGATTTGAAAATGAAAGATGTTTGAATTGCTTTAACAATTCAAAGAATATGTGCTGTAACATTGGCACACACTAGGACTCGCCATTTCAAGAAATATACATGTACATGTATCTTGTGTGGCACATTTTGGCCATTATTGTACGGTATATGTAGATTTCAAATGCTGCCAGCTGCGTATATTCAGGCAGGAATTTGTACACACGCAAATTAAATGAATGAAAATTGTGAATGAATGAGTGCATGTACGAGTCTCTGTCTTGTTTTTCTTTCTCTTCTACACATGCTACATGTACGTATGGTTGATGTACCTAAAAATTACACCCACAGATAACACTTGCAAAAACTAGAGGGGGACAACTTGACCAGGGAACAACTTGACCCGGGGACGATTTGACCTGGGGACGACTTGACCAGGGTCTTAATTTTGGGCGATGGCTTGACTTGGGGACGACTTGACCCGGGGTCACACCCTGACACCCGGTCATGTCAGTTGAAAGGTCATTGTCAGCAGTGTGGCAGCTTCACCAGTTACAAATTGGCTCCCATCTCTTTCTATTCATTTTCCTTTTGCTCTGGAATGAAAGAAAAATTTCGATTGGTTGAATGGTATGCTGATGACATTCACCAACTACAGCTCGTCTCTTATTTCATACGTACTTATTACACGTACTGGAAACAGGATTTTGATTATGATTTTTTTTGTCGTGGAAGGACTAAAATGTACCCCCAAAATACATTTACTGGTAGTTCTGGCTGATTGTGGCCGCCCCATTGTGATTTTTTTTGTCCGACAAACAGATTTTTGGTCTGGTTGAGGGTTGAGGCCACCGCACACCCTTTCCCAGCGAACGCATTTCGGCTACTCCGACACCATTCAACCAATAGAAATGTTTCTTTCATTTGAGAGCAAAAGGAAGCTGAATACATGCACATGTAATTGGTGAAGCTGCCACGCTGCTGACAACGATGACCTTTCAACTGTGACATGACTGGGTGAGATACATGTACATGTACATGTAGGCAGGCAGTCATGGACACAGGTGTGGGTAAGGAAAGTTCTCATAAATTTCACCATTTTGAATTGCACATGTACATGTATAATGTAAATGAACCCCCTCCCATTCCACACAAAATTGTATCCTGGGAGGCCTCATGAAATTATGGGGGAAAAATCATAATAATGGCATAGAAATTTCATACAAACCGAAGTACATGTAGCACCATGTCAGATATGACTAGGATTTACGTTACTACCGTTATCTGTAAGGTTTGTGTAAACCTCACATTTCTGGAAATAGAAGCTACACGTAAGAACTACCAGGTACAAGATGTTTGTCTGTGGTGCAGTGTTTTTTGTTTTTGTTGTTTGTTTGTTTGCTTGTCTGTCTGTTGCTCGAGGTTTGTCTGTCTGCCTGTCTTGGTTTGGGCTGCCTGTCTGTCATGTCTGTCTGTTATGTTTTCTCTTTGTCTTTTGTAAAAATTTGGTGTTGCACTTTGGTGGTAATGTTGGGTCTTCTGGATTTGTTGTTTGTGCTTTTTGGTTGTTGCTGTGTTTCCTGTTTTTTTGTCATTGTCGTTGTCGCAATCATTGTCATATTTTGGTTGGCTGTCGTTTGTTCGTTTTTGTTTTGATTTTTTTTCCCTCAATTTTTATTACATGTACATGTATCTACTTTAGTGCAATAAAAAGGACCCCATTGGAAATTCATGTAAGTTGCAAAACTTTGATGGGCTATCCCTGGTATTGGCTAATTTTTGTGTACACATACATGTACATATTGTGCAGTTCTTGGTCATGGCAGTTTTGTGTTTTTAATTTTTTGTTACTGTATTTTTGCTCTGAGATGATACCAAATAAATCCAATCCAATCCATACAGCACATGTCGGCCTACATGTATGTGTAAGTTGGCCCTACCAATGCTACATGTACATGTACAATACCCATTATCCCGAGAACTGTCCTGAAGAGGGGAGCGCGATGGAAGACAAACCCCACAGTCTGACAGTTCTGGGGGTACATGTACATGTACAGGCCCCAGTCAGTGGGTGTATGGGAAACAGTTCCATTTACGGACAGCACTATTTTTTCCTTAAAATGCTACATGTACATGTATATTATTTGTGCACAGACCTATGGAAACTTGAAATTTTGTGTGACTTTTGTCAATGTGCATGTACATGTACCGATACATGTACATGTATACATCACAGAAACAGATCCATATACATTTACATGTACATGGACAACACTAATTTTCCTTTAAAATTTTATAACAGCCATCCAAAAGTGATAGTTAACATGTCCTAAAAGCTGACATTCCAAAGTACAGTATTTACTTTAAAACATGTATCATGTGTATGTACCGGTAGATTTGTACACAGGGACATGAAGTGTTTTCCGTATACGAAACCCATATTACATGTACATGTACATGTATGTGTATTTGCGAAATAATATACCGGTACATGTACATGCAAAGACCAAAAATCTAAAGGCACAATCAGTAAATGAGCATTTACTTTTGCTTGGTGTTCACATGTAAAAGCAATGCAGATATGTTTCACTGTGTTGTAAAGTGTGCAGTACATGTAAATGTATGTACTTTTTCAGGTGCCGTATTTTTGATAATGCCCTGAATACATGTACATGTATTTGGCGAAAGTTGATCGAAGTCGTCATTAGTGCCCGTTTCAGACATCCAACATCAATCGTGAACAAACAGCGATCAAATCCATTTTCTAGACAATTTTAGCCAGTTCATTTTTGTATTTATTTTTTTAAAGTAAAACTTTTGCTCAGTTGACATTTTTCCAGAATTCTCCCTGGAAAACCTTACATGTATATGTACAATTGTAATTCGCACACAGCTGCAAAAAGTGACGATCGATCGTTGACAGTAAATTAACGTCTGTACATGATTTCGTTGAAGAGTTCCACAACGAGAAAGTTGGATGTGCGAATACATGTATTTTTACATGTGCAAATTGACATACATGTACATGTAGGGTACTCCAGCATGTCCAGGATACCGGTACATTACATG